CCTGCTTCCTCTTCTCCCAGCCAATTGTGTCAGCTATTTAGTTTACTTAGTTTCCTCTGTTTTTTCTCTGAAGAGACATATGCTGGATTTGGAATCCCTGCAGGAGGAAGAAAAGTTAAAGGAAAGTTTCCATATCTGTCAGGCCTCAGAGCCAAGCACCAGCAAGACACTAAGAGCTTCCCTAGAGTTGAGGGAGGCTGTTGCTGAGCCTGACTCCAAACACAAACAGACCAGTGAGGCTTGGCCTCCTTGCTCTTCCGTGGTGAAGCTGCTCTGTACTCTGGTGGTCTGTTACATTATTGCTGGAGTCTGAGAGAGGAAGTAAGATTGGAAGGAAGCAAAACAAAGCTGTCCCACTACAAATCTGTACATACTTATTAAGAAAATGCCATGTAGCACGTACTGCAGTACAGACATGTTCAACTAACCCACAAGCCCCTCACCATCTAGGAGCTTACAGCCCCATGTTCAGAGAGTAAGCAAATCTTTAAAGACTACCAAAATGTGATTGGAGTGATCAAAGAGGCAGGGCTGTTTGATGGCAAATAGCAGAAGAAGACTTCCTTACTTTAGAGAAAGCATGTCTTAGCAGGTGGTGTGAAGTTCAGACCTGGAAGAAAAGGAGTGGTCAGCTGTAGTCAATGGACACACATCAGGAGTTCAAGTTTGTGCATAAGCAGGGTAGTTGGACAGAGGAAAACATGTGGAGAGGTCACTTGGGGCTAGACAGAGAACAGACTTAGATGTGCTTCCAAAATGGCACAAGGTGTCTGCAGCTGGAGAACATCACCAAGAAGAGCCAGGCAAGAGCTCACCAGGAAGGAGGGCCTTCTAAAACATGGCAAGGAGTCTGGATTCATTGTGGGTACAATGGAAAGGTCCAGGGAATTTTAACTAGGAGAGTGACAATCATAACATTAAGTCAAAGTGGGCAGGAGCTGGGGTAAGATGGGCTAGGAGAGCTCTTGGCCACTTAGGATGGGAAGAGGGTGGGAGAGAACAAAAGCCACCAACCAGGTGTGTCTGGGTGAAGAACCTACAGCATATGCTGCTGACAAGGTTGGGGAAGGGTGTGTGACAGAGACAAGGACTCGAAAATAACTCCCTCTATGGCTTGTATCTAGATGTCACCCTTAAACATCATGCAGTCGATCTTTTAGGAGATGACTGAATCTAAAATATGATTGATTCACTGTACAATGCTGAGATTAAGGGTGCTGGGAGTAAGAGTGGGTGATTGCAGGATCAGCCTACTGATTGGCTTGGCATTACCCTAACCCCAGTAGACTGAATACAGCATCAGGAGCAGCAAGAACTCTCTTCCTCTTTCTCTGTCTCTCTGTCTTTTTGTCTCTGTCTCTGTCTCTGTCTCTGTCTCTCTCTCTCTCTCTCTCTCTCTCTCTCTCTCTCTCTCTCTCACTCACTCTTCCTGTGTTGTTTTTGGTGGCCTCTGCTTCCATGAATCGTTGCCCCTCTACCATGTGCCACCCTGCCTTGTAGCCAGCTGATTATGAACTGAAACCTCTATAACTTCTGAGCTAAATAAATCTTTCCCCCTTTAATTTTGGGTGTTGAACATTTTGTCTTAGCAATGATAAAAGTAACTAAGGCAACCCCCAAAATTCTTAAGTGGCCAGCTGAGTGGACAATGGAGACATTAGCGGGATGGGAAACACTGGGGAGAAATGAGACTTTCTACAATTCATAGTGCCTTGGGAGGAAGGAATTCAGAATTTCATTCTTAACTATCATGGGTTCAGTGTGTCTATGAGCCATCCATGTAAAAAAAAATCAAATGGGAGACTGAAAATGTGGATGTAAAGGGAGGAGACCCACCTAGGGGGCATTCCAGATAGAGAATCTGAAACCCAAAGAAGGAATAAGATCATCTATTGAGGGAGGGTACATGGTAGAAGCAGACTACAGAGCCCCTTGAAGACCCTTCCCCAAGAAGAGATGAGGAAAAGATTATTTCTCAAATGTTTTATTAGAACCCAGCACATGACTTCAATGAAATCATTGTGTATGATACTGTAGTGGTGGATGGAGGACATTATACACTTATCCAAACTCACTGAGCGTAGAGTTAACAGTGGATCCCACTGCTAATCTCTTTAGTTAACACTAATGTATAAATGAGTCGTCGTCAGTTGTTACAAATACATGATAACCACCCAAGATTTTAGTGGTATGGTGGACTCTGGGGTGCAGGTGTGAAAAGAGGGAATAAGTGGGAGCTCTTCATACTTCCTGCTCAGTGTGTCTATAACTCTAAAACTGTTCTAAAATAAACTCTACTAATTTATTTTAAAAAGAAGAAAGCATAGGTTTTAGGATTTGGCACAAAGAAAACAAATCAAAAAGGTGCCAGAGGTCTTATTGGGAAGAAAAACGAGCCTTAAAACAATATAGATTTATTTTGAAACAAAAAGACACCTTGTCCTTATCAATCTGGATTGAGCACAGCACAGATCAAAGATGTGAAAAAATATCCTTAGCTTTCTACAATGGTTTTGTAGCTTGCAACATTGTTCTTAGAGTAAAGGATTTAGGAAGATGACTAAGAGCAATTATGATCAATCATCAAAGATCAATGTTTTGGGGCTGGGGAGGTGGCTCAGTGGAATAAGCACTTCCCTGGCAAGTGCAAGGGCCTGAGTTCAATCCTCAGTTCCGAAAAAAAAAAATCAATTTTTTTTTCTGTATTCAAATAAAAGCACATTTTCATAGCCCAGGTTTTCTGGAGTCAATCAAAACTAGATGGTAACTTCTGCTTGGGCCCTTGGGATCTCAGAGATACTGGACAAAACCTCTTGGGCTTCTCAGGCTCACTTCTAATCATTCATAAAGTGGAAAGAATTCTTACCTCCTAGGCTTTCAGTGAAGAAGTGGCTTAGTATTCGTAAACTGCACACATTATGATAAGTGGGGAGGGTCTTGTTAAGTGCTGGGCATTATGATCTTGTCTCCAACAATCCTTATCACAGTCCTGCTGTTATGGTTTGTGTCTATTTGTCCCCCCCAAAGCCTAATGCAGTCATGGGGTAGACTTCTAGGCTTGAAATTAATTCATGATCCAGGGCTGGGATTATGGGTATGAGTGCTGCTGGGATTAGGGGTGTGAGTGTTGCTGGAATTATGGGTGTGAGTGCTACTGGGTTATGAGTGTGAGTGCTGCTGGGATTATGGGTGTAAATGCTGCTGGGATTATGGGTGTGAGCCCTATACCTGGCCTGGGGCAGATAGCCTGAATAGAACATAAGGGAGACAGACTTGTTCTCTATTGTCTTCACTCCTCCCCTTTGCTCTTTGCTGTTTTCTGTCCCCATGAACAGCTGCCCTCTTCCCTGTGCAACTCTACCTTAGAGCCAGCCAAGTGTGGACTGAAATCTCAACTGTGAGCTAAATAAACCTTTCCTTACTTAATTCTGGGTATTGGGTATTTTGTCCCAGCAATGAGAGAAAAGCAACTAAGACACCTGCAAAGTCAGTACTCCTAGCCCCATCCATTGCTCAAATGAGAAAGCCTCACAGAGGTGACGTGCTGAAGATCACAGATGACAAGTTCATGGCACTAGGAAGTGAAGCTCTGCCTATTCCACAAGGCCCTCAGGTGCCTTCCTATCATGTTATAGTCTGGATCTGAAATGTCACCGTAAGGTACACATACTGAAAACCTGTCCTGACCTGATGATGTCGTTGGAAGGTCGTGGAAACTCCAGGAAATGGAGCCTGGTTGGACAAAGTACATTGCTGGGGTCATAGCCTTGAAGGGTACACTAAACCTATTCCTCCATTCTCTCCCCTTCCCGCTCTCTCTCTTCCCTCTCCCTCCTTGTGGGCTGTGAGATGAACAGCTTTGCTCCACCATGATATGCTGCCTGGCCATGGGCCCACAGCAATGGACTCCGCTGATCATGCACAAAGCCTTTAAAACCAACAGCCAAAATAAATCTTTCCTTGTTGATTTTCTCACAGAGGAGGGAAGGAAGAAAATGAAAGGAAGGAAAATGAAGGGAAGAGATAAAACAAACTCATGCCTTCTGACTTTTCAAATCTTCGACCTCTGCCTTCCACCAGCATCTGGGCCTCCCGACCCCCAAGTGGAATGTCTAGACACACTCACCTGGGCCTAACCCACGCTGTCTCAATTGCACCTGTAGGAAAGTGCATTGACTGTGATCCAAAAATTCGGTCCTAGCACTTGTTCATAGAGTTTTTCATTAAGCTAAGAAAAACTATGTGGAGCCTTTCATTGTGTTCCTGTTATTTATACAATTCACTTGGAAATGTGATTTAATATATTTGGAGCAGCTTTTAAAAAAATATCAGATGGTCAGGACTTGAAAAGTGTCTATTATTGGTACATTACATTGACTTGTATGGAAATAATTCATGTTTTTAATTTTCTTTCCACTCTAAGGTATTTTCCAAGAATGCAATTCTTGATGTATTCACAAAACTCTAATAGAGGGAGGCTTTATAGTTTATCAAGTATCCCTTTCAGCCAGCTCCATAAATTCCACCGTGCAAGCCATTCCTAAACTCCACTTGAGCTTAGCAGATGTCTGGTTCTGTGCATCGTGTGTGTGTGTGTGTGTGTGTGTGTGTGTGTGTGTGTGTTTTCAGTAACTTTCCTAGTGTTCTTTGAGTTTGGAAGAAGTGCCTGGAAAACTAAATTCGAATCCATTTTCCAGACCATTTAATAAACTTCAGGGCTCCAAATCAAACACGTAAGTAGTGGATCTTCACAGAGACCCTGAGCTTCCCAGACTTAAAAGAGAGTAGGCAAAATTCTTAGGTAAGTCTGATATATTCCAAGCCAGCAAATGGACTAAGAAGTACAGGAGAAATACAAACACAGGAAAAGCCCAACCCGAGGCACAGGAACAAGGAGCCACCTCATTCCAGTGTTTCATCCGTGGAATCCCTGCCAGCCTTCCAGCTCACTCTTATAAAGCTGGCCGTGGGCAGCCTGTGCGGCCCTGCAGTCTGCCTGCTCCACAGCTGCTTCTGAGGGGCTGGCCAAGTGGCCCTGCTGGCTCTCCCTCCTGAGAGCCATGGCAAAGAATGGACTTGTAATTTGCATCCTGGTCCTTTCTTTGCTCCTGGACCAGACCACCAGCCACCCATCCAAAGCAAAAGCCAGGAAGCACAGCAAGCGCCGTGTGAAAGGTAGGGGGACTTTCAGCCTGGCAGGGCTCCAGGCTTCCTCGGTGCAGGGGGCACTGGGCAAGGTGAATTCCTGTCCTCCTGAGTGACAGCACCAGGCCTTCCTGCGCATGTAGCTTTCTGGAGGTGGGGTGACCTTCTGATTCTCTGGGACAGCCATGTATTTAAAGGAATGATGTAGACTTTCTCTGTAAGCGGAGAAATGCTTTCGTACCACTCAAAAAAATTTCTGCATTGTATTATTTTTGGTCAAATTGGGCATGGATATATGGAAGCTCACTCCATGAGCTCATTTAGATGTGTGAACATCAGATTTTATGAATGATGGGTGAAGGAGAATATACTAACTAGCAAAGTACACTCGAAGATAGTGAATGATTCCATGCAAACATACAGTAAGGTAGCTATAAATCACTGTCTGGAAGAGGACAGAGCTCCTGGTAATTGTGACTTGTTTTGCTGGTTCTTGTATTTTCACATCCCTGCGGTCTTAGGATGCTCTGTAGCATACACTTAAATTTCTCATGTGATACAGATTGATTTGCATCTCTCTTTAAGAATATATGACCATGCAAGGCCTGTTAGTCATTTAGACATTTTGAAATGAAATTGACTCTCCATGCAATTACAGAGTTGGAATGGATTTTGAATTGGGTTAAGAAGAAAATGTTTTAAGTTTCAAAGAACACAGGTGAGGGTAATATGTTTAAAACATGCTAAGGCCAAAGCAAGAGCAAAAAGGACCAAAACACAGCGTGATGCTTTTTTTCATCCTCTGAGTCTTTTCTCTATGAAAATATTCCAAGGAAAACACAGTACTCTTTTTTCTCCAATTTCACATCACTAGAAACAAAACATAGCAAAAATATTGGCAAGCTTTCAGCCCAGGTTTGACTCATCACAGACAGCTGGTGGATCCAAAGAAGGTTGTCTTGTGTTTTGTTCTAGTGATTATAAAAGGTCCTTTAGCAGGGACATTGATTTATAAAATTTGAGTCTGATATAAGGCTTCTCGGTAGAATCTTTTCCTTATCAAATATTTTATTTTCCTGTTCCCTCTTTTAATGAGATTAAAATATTTCTTATGAGTAGATAAATTATATTCCTTGAGAGGAAGATGAAAAAAGAGAGAAAGTGCTGGGTGATGTGGCATATTTTTCCTGCCAGCCTTTCCCTACCAAGGAGTGGCAAACTGGCAAGCACTCTGTGGGGTCCTGTGGAAAGGACAGGAATATGTAAATGCATTCTCTCCCTCTCCCTC